TGTCCCTGCCACTGCTTTCGGCAACCGCTCATCGCCCTAGGCGCCACACAAAGCATGCTAGCGCCGTGGCCCATATTGGCGACGCTCCAGGACAGAAACCAAGAAAAGGGCAGATGGCGTGTCACGGTGGTTTACGCTGGATTGATCTGAACAATATATGGTAGTGCATACGGACTGATGCAAAGGATAAGGCATGAGATTGGAAGATGTTATGGCATTTGTGGGGGACTGAGTGGCACGAAAAGGACACCTCCCCCCTTCTCGAGGAGTAGCAAACGAAACGGGGTGACAAAGCTTAGCCGAGACAATTTATTCCGTGATGATGTATTTTGGGTTGTTGTTGGTTTGCTTTTTGCAGTTCTTTTGCTCCAAAACCAACATTTTCTCCCACAACTCATTCCCTTCTTCATGAGCATCTGCATCAAGCCAGAACCCGTCTTCGTAGTCCATCACATCCGCCAAGTCTACGGCGCCAAAATCCACTTCCCCCACAAACACCCAATTCTTACTTTTAACATCGCAATTCCCTGTTAATCTTGTGCTGCGCAATCGGCTACATGTAATTGTCCATTGTTTTCGAGACCAGTGCGGCGGCCCTCGTGTCAAAATTATGCACCGTGTCTTGATGTTCTTATATCTCTCGTAGCAAATCATGCTCTCCGCCCGAGAATCACGACATAAGCTGCTTACACTTCCGCGGCTGCAAGGGGGGAATTCTCCGCCTCCCCCACTGCCTCCTTGACCTCCCTCCCAACCTTTCCCCCACCAGCATCGGCCCCTTCCCGCGCTTTTTTCAGCACCGGTGATTTCTCCTCTCCCACCAAGTCCCCGTCCTCTCCCAGGGCATCCTCCTTCCTGCGCCGGCCGTCATGTCCCCCATTCTTGCCCGTGCGCCCATCCAATTGCCCCTTGGCCAAACCCTCTCGCCCTCGCTTCCTCCCGCTTCCTCCCTCTTTCCCCCGCTCCCTCTCCGCCTCGCACCCCGGGCAGGTGAAATTATCGAGGACAATGTCAGCGGGCAGGCCCATGCACCCGTAGTGGAACCACTGCTGACAGTCGTCGCAGCCAATGAACTGGTCTCCTTCCCTCTCGGGCTGCCGGCAGATGCAGTACAGCCGGTGGGGGTTCAGGCTCCCGCCGTCCACAGAG